TGGAATTCTGAATCTAACGTTCCTACAAGAGTTATAAGGGCCTAAAATTTTGAATATGTGGTGCTAAGTATTGAGAGGTATAAGGGCCTTTTATTTGATGTGATAGCACAATGAAAAATATGTATTTTAATTATTTTGAGCTAATACTGAATATGAAAATATATTTCCATCTGCCCTAAGATATTATGGATAATGGTACTTTTCTGCATAATATGCTTAAAGTTCAGTAATGATAATTTGTTTTATTGTTTCTTTCCAAGCATTGTTATTTGTTTATTATTAAGATTTAAGATAAGTTCAATATAGCTTATTAAGTCGTGGTTTGCTCATGCTTGCTACTTTGCATATATTTCAAGCCAGAGCAAAGGGGATGTATATTTGAGTTCGCATATGTATATTCTTTTTAGAAGTTTTGGCAATCATGGCTTTGGGGTCTGAATAATCTTCTCTATGTCATGTACTATTTGTAAATGATTATTTTGATTATATAAACTTCTTGATATGAATGAAAAGAAATCTGATGAATGTATATATGTACTCAATTAAAGTTATATAGTGGCTCCTTAGACTATCATAATTCAAAGATAAAAGAAATTCTTTCCAAATAGGCCACGAGAGTTTATCATGTTGCTATTTGACACCTTACGAACATGGCAAGGGATTGGTACCTTTCAAATGTAAATGGTGGTTTATAGACATGTCATCCAATAAGACAATATATTAGTTAAATTGTAGAATAAGATTGAAAATTGAGGGACTCATCATTGTTGAGATTAACAATTATTAAAACTTGATTTGATAGCTAGTGTTTTATTAAGTTTATATTACCTATACCTAGCTTGATGGTTCATGTTTTCTTATCCCATAAGTCACTTTTCTGCATAAATGGCTCATTCAATTATAATTAAACCAAGTGGCCAAATATATCACCTTTTATTACTTTTAAAACAAATATCCATATGTTATTATAAGGTGATGTTCTTCAACCTTAAGAATATTAGAGCAATGTATGAAATGGCTATGCCCCACATTTGTAATGTTCTTATCCATATGAAGGTTAAATGTTATATTAATGATTTGATTGGTAAGGTTAAATGTTATATTAATGATTTGATTAAGGGATAAGCACGATAAGCACGGTATGATCTTAAAATTATGTTTGATCGCTTCATATGTCACAACCTCAAGATGGATCTGTAGGAGTTCCTTGATTTTATAATCAAGCATTATTGAATTGAGGTTGACCCCTCTAAAAAAATTCAACTTAGATATGAAACATCTTTTACGACTCACATAATTGAGATCACTTTAAAGGAGGATAGTATTTCTCAGGTGCTTCATTTTCAGTTTTATTGGAAGGTACCAATTATACTGATTTATAATTTTCTATAAGATATGTTTTTATCTATAATAATCAAAAATAATATTTCAAGCATCGTTATAAATTTAATTTGAAAAAAGTCTCTGCCATAATATTGATATTATCGTGCTTTAATTACAATAATTTTCTCATATTTTTATGGGCAATGTAGATATGAAAATAAGTTTCTTATTTAATTGCAAGTTCTAAGGAAATAGATAAATATTGGTACAAGTGAGTTTTTGGGGATCGTTAGATGTCCGTTTTGTAACCCAATTTCATCAGAGCCTTCCAAACATGCTGATCAATTTTATGAATATTTTTTATAATTTTTAGAGCTTCAGATTTAAAAATATATAAGGATTTATATAAATTTTATGTTGAAATCTAAATAATTGATATAATTACGTACCAAAATACCCTTTACATATTTTATCATAAAAGACTCATCCCACTTACATAAACATCTCAAATGGCCATTCCAACCTCATTCGTTTTAGCAAACAAGAAAAAAAGGAAAATAAGAAGAAAATAGAGATGATGAGAGAGAGAGAAACTAATGTTTGGAAGTCTTAGAGTCATTTTTGTTGGTCAGCCAAATTGAAAAAATTGCTAACTCAACATAGGCTACCTTTATCCTACATCTAATTTTAATATTTTTTTTTCTTATTTTATGTTTAATTAATTTTAATTTGATCATAATTTATAAAATTTACGATAACACAATTTTTAGAAAACTTCCATAGTGTAATTTTTAATATGTTATAATTTTAATCATTATGCATATATTAACAAAAATATATAAAATTTTCAACGGGTATTTTTGTATATTACAAGAACCCTGATTTAAAAATTTTAGATAAATATGAAAATTGAATAAAAATTTATTAAAATTTTATAATACCAGTGTATGACAAGCTTACTTATTACAATCGGGCTGTCATAGGTATATACATGATGAAAAAGTGCACATTGTATTTTTCTGAATTTCATTAATTATAATTCATATACAAATTTTATATGTATTAATATAATATAGTGAGATGAATGTTGAGCATAATATCACTTATTTATTATGATATATATGCTATGAAATGTGTATATGTAAGAAAGGCTTATCATAATTGATTAACTGATTTATGTTGGTTAGAAATATGTTACTATGTATAAGAAGGTGAGATGACAAAATTTCCTTTAAAATATGTTTTATGGTGTAATCTTAAATGATATGAAAAAAGAGACATAAGGAGACAAATTGATATGATATAATACACCGATTGGCAGAAAATGATGACTTCTGATATGAAAGCCAACTAACCTAAATGATATATGATATGACTGATTCCTAGAAGTATAACTAATATAATTGAGATTGATTTCTATAAAGTTGACTTGCAAGATTGGAACAGAAAAAAAAATTAAAGATAGCTAAATGTCTAATCTTACTTATAGTGCTTGCATATACATATGACAAGAATATATAAGCATATATCTTTGGATTAAATAAAATCTTAATTAAAAAATATTATATTGTCATGATCGTTTTTGTGTTGAAGCTTGGACATTACATTATCTCACATAAGATGAATTCTTCTACCAATCCTTTTAATCATGCTTGAAGTTTTAATGATTTTACTTATTTAATATTTTATTAATTTTAATTTGATCAAAATTTACACAAGTTATGATAACTCAATTTTTTGTAAACTTTCACCATGTAATTTTAGTATGTTATAGTTTTAATTATTATGTATATATTAAAAGGAATATATTAAATTTTCATCAAATATTTTTGTATATTAGGAGAAATACCCTAATTTAAAATAGTTAGATAAATATAAAAATTGAATAAATAATTATTAAAATCTCATAATACCAATATATGACATGCATACTTGTTACTTTGAGTTGTTGCGGGTACATACATGGTGAAAAATTTCACACATCATTTTTATGAATTTCACTAATTCTGATTCATATGCAAATTTTTTATGCATTAATATGATATAGTGAGCTAAATGTTGAGCATAATATTACTTATTTATTATGTTATGTATGTTATAAAATGTGTATATATAAGAAATGATGGTCAGAAATAATTAACAAATTCAAGTTGGCTGGAGATATATTACCATGTATAAGAGGATGGGCAGACAATATTTTATTTAAAATATATTTTATGGTGTAATCTTAAATGATATGAAAAAAGATGCATAAGACAACAAATTGATATGATATAATTCACTGATGGACAGAAAATGATGACTTCTAATATGAAAGCCAACTAACTTAAATGATATATGATATGACTGATTCTTGGTAGTAGGGCTGATATAATTGGGACGGATTCCTATAAAGTTGACTTGCATGATTGGAACAAGAAAAATATTACATAAGCTAGATGTCTTATCTTGCTTATAGTGCTTGCATATATATATAATTAACATGATATGATAAAATAATATAATTAACATGATATGATTTACATAATTAATATACAATAAGCATATAAAAATGATAGGTATATTGATGTAATATGATGCTATATAAGCTATTTTGTTATTACTAAAGGATAGTCAGAACTTAAAGATCATTGTTCACTTGGTTACTAATAGTTGATTATGAATTATATTGCTTATATTCATTTTATTACTAATTATATGATATTAAATTAATCACATTGATTGGCACATATGTTATAATTATATGTTCATACTTATATTGACTAAATGATTACATGTATATTATGTGTAGTGTCTTATATTCATTTTAGTTCTATATTATGATAACCTACTAAGTTGTTAGCTCACTATGTAATTTTATATATTTTCAAGAAGGGGTAGAGATCTAGTGGAGTGAGGACAGATCAAGAATTTTGGTTTTATTTTATTATTATATTTTTATTTTTATTCTTGTGTAGTCAGGATCAAAGTTGATCAATATATCATTTATCAAGAAATTTTTAGATGAATATATGATTTTTAGTTGCTTTCATTTGATTGATTTATGTTGATAAACTCATAAAAGTTCTAGTTGATTAATTAAGAGATTTAAATATATCATTCTTCTAAAATTTGATCATGGGGCATTACACCAACCCCTTACCAAGTCGGTAAGGAAGAATACAAGATTCAAATGGGATCAAAGTTGTCAAGAAATACTTGAAAGTATAAAATGATATATGGTGTTACTTCCCATCTTAATGGCATTTATACCAAAATCATTCATCGTACTCTATGTACTTGCATCATTGCATAAGTCTTCCATTACATTTTAGCACAAATTAACAATGAGTAATAAAAGAATTTGATAAACCATCTTAGCATATATCTTATTTTAGATTAATTAAAATCTTAATTGAAAAATATTATCTTGTCATGATATTTTTTGTGTTGAAGTTTAGATATTATATGATCTCATATAAGATGAATTCATCTGTTAATCCTTTGAGTCATGCATGTAGTTTTTATGAAAGACACATATTAAATATTAATATAATTTTTAGATATCATATATCACATTAATTTTAATATAGATTTAAAAACAATGAGATTCACTCTCAAGAGATTTCGATCAAGAATTTTATTATTAAATAATTCGAGCAAGTTTCAATATTTCCTTTTTTTTTTTAAGATAGCGCGTTTATATATATTTTCAGATTCCTAAAGAGATTGAAAATGTCGACGGCTTCTCTCCTCCGGTTTTGCGCTCTTCCTCCTCTCCAAACCCTAAGCCGAAGCCATGGGCGACCATCATCAACTATCCACACCCCTCTCCGCCTCCACAGTCTACCATCCATCAAAAACCGCAGCTCCAAGACCGTAATTTCAATGTCCTACCGCGCCACTGTTCCTGCATCAGACCGGCTCCTTTCCGCTCTTTCTTACTCTCTCCCCTTCTTCAACTCACTTCACTATGGCCGCTTTCTCTTTGCTCGCTTTCCCGCCGTGGGGGTAGCTTTAGAGCCTCTGCTGCCGCTGATCGGGGCGTACAGGTCTCTGCCCTATGCGAGCTTCGTTGCATTCTTCGCCCTCTACCTCGGTGTGGTGAGGAATCCGGTGTTCGGTAGATACGTGAGATTCAATGCGATGCAGGCGGTGGTTCTTGATGTGTTACTCGCCCTGCCGGCGTTACTGCAGAGGATCTTTGGAGTGCCGGCGAGGGGTTTAGGGTTTCGGCTGCTCGAGGTTAGTTATAATGTTATCTTCATGATCGCTGCGGGATGCTTTTTCTACGGACTTGTGAGCTGTGTGTTCGGGAAGACGCCTTACCTTCCGCTGGTAGCATCAGCGGCTGACCGCCAGCTCTAACCAAGGCTTGAGACCATCAGAAGCTCCGGGTTTAGTCTTGCAAGTAAGTTTTGAGTGACTTGTTATTTCAATTTAACAGGTTAATATGCATAAGGTGAGAGGAATTTGTTTTGTTAGAATGATATGATTTTGTTAGTATGCGTTTATTGGAATCAGTGAGAGGAATTTCGTTTGTTGGAATGCTATTAATTGAGGGAATTATATTGTATCGTCTATCTTAGCAAAAACATCTAAATAAAGGTGTGAAATTGTGCAATTGTTTTTGTCAATAAGGCAAGGCGTGTGCCTCAAAATTAAATCATTAAGGTAATAAAAAAAATGAAATAATAAGTAATATACTATCATCAAAGTAAGATATCAAGTTAAAATAAGCTCCTAACATTATGTTTCTCTTACTTTCAATTCAACATAAACAAGTAGTCTAAGCTACTAAAATTATAATTTATAAATTCAAAAGTATCTCACACTCTTCATCTCTTTAGCGGGTCTTCATCAGAGTCATCCTTATTGTAGTTTTGCTTCCCTTCCCACTTATCCTTAGTTTTCTTTGTGAGTGTGATCGATGTCAGATTGGAGTGTAATATGTGATTGGGATTCAAAGACATGTGTGTGATTCTGATTCTCAAAACTATTTGTTTTAAGTTCATGCTCCAAGAAATAACAAAATAAGATTTATTTTATATATTATTTTTATAAAGTAAAAGTTTAGTTCATATAGAACTAAATCATTGGGGCTTAGCCTTTTAAAATTCGCACAGAGGCACAACTCAGCTCCATGCCTTATCAGGCCAAGGTGATATGTACACCTTATAGTATTTTTCTCAAAAAATGCTTTGAGGTGGGCCTTAAAGCATCTCTTATTGCACAATTTTAGATAATGGTTTAAGTTGCTTCTTGGTAGTAATTGTTAGATTAGTGGTGATTTAAATTGCCTCTAAAGTGTACGTCATTAAAAATATTAGAGGTTGTTTAGGCCTCCATTTGGTATATTAGCAATCCTAATGATAACATAGAGGCTAAGGAGAAATTATTAGGCATGGACAAAAGACACAGAGCGGCATTCAACATTCGTTTAAAAGAATTAGAAGTGTATGTAAGTTTGAAACTTTTTTTTGCACTTAGCTATCCTAATTATGATAGAGACTTTTGTAAAATGAAATTTTTAGGTGCAGATGATGGATTTAGATATTCGTCTATTATCCTATAAAAATTGTATGTGTACTTTGAAAAATTTTTCTCCTAAGTTATCATATAAATATGTAATTTGTTTATTAAATGGTGGATGCATCTTTGTTTCTACTATCCTTATTTAATAATTTCTCAATTATAAGAGCCTCTAACAATGCCTCCAGCTTTCATAGACACAGTTTAAACTTCTTCTATGAGTATATTCAGCTTCTCCATATAGAATGTTTTACTCTGCTGGTTATATGAGCTAGTTAGAAACACTAAAGTATGCTCTTGCCGGTAATTATATCTTTTATGGCTCATTTATGCTCTTGATTATGAATGTTAATGTGAAAATATTCTTGTATCAATTTGATCTTCTTAGTGAAGAAACTTACAACATATCATATGTTGAATTTTCTTAGAATTAACTAGATCTTCTTTATCATGTATGTATATTGTTGTTATGTTATATTTGCATTTATTTTTATGTGAGTGAATTGTCATTTCAAGAATTTTTTGAATTAATTTATTGTTAGGATTAATATAAATACATCTTGCCCTCAATTTCTTCTTAAATTTATACAATAGATTCTAATGGCATTTCCACTTTCTTCTTACCATGAGTTCAAATGCTTTCCTGTTGACCCAAAATTGAATATGATATCCTGAACTGCATAGGCAATGGATTGAATCTAGGTCAATCCTGGCCTAATATAAAATTTAAGTTGATTATTTGGATTGGGATCAACACAATCCTACCCAAATCTAGTTCCAAGTCATGATTTGTTTCTCTTCCTCTATACAGTTCCATAATCAATTAATTAACTTCTGATGCAAAAACAGTACAATACATTCATACTATTTCAAATGCTTCTTAGATTTCTGCAAACTAAATGGATTTTTAAATGCTCCCATCACTAACTTCCATAAATTCATGGAAACCAGCCATCCAAATAGAAGCTGGCTACTTTGTTAGCCATACAAAACACTAAAATAGTTGATGCTTTATAACAATGCCTTTTTTATGGGGTAGTTTTTAAGAAATCATACATATGAGAATCATATATTATTGAGATCTTTATTCTAGCTTTCTATCATCTATTCATTTTTCCACATACTTTTTTTTTCACAATTCATAATCTGATTTCTTTTTTTGATGAATGAGTATTTTAGGCGGCCTATTCTCATAAAGAGGTTGGTGGAACATTTGAATAAGTTGGTAGTTATGTTTACACCATAACAACCATGAACTCAACAAATAAATTACCAAGCATTGAAGAATTTGCTCAAGAAGATTATCATGGAGGGACATTTGACCGAGTATCTCATTGATGTACATGCTAGTAAGTGTCCATAAGAAGATCATTTTTTTAACCTTTATGAGGGACTGGAACCATGCATGTTATCATTAGGGTCCCAATCCAAAGCCTCTCAATAAAGGAGTCCAAAGCGATTCACCTTATATGATATTCACTCTTGCTCTTTATTGACACCTCTTATCTCTTTTTCAAATAATAGCCTAAAGAATTATCAGAACATCTCGATGTTGCTATCATTATCTCCACTCTAACTAACCACTATGGGGTTCTATGCATCCTCATCAACACCAACAATTTTGTTAATGTTTTATTTTTTGATATGATTGACAGATTGAGAGAACAAACCTCAATTCTCAAAATTACCACCATTCTAATGATTCTTTAGTTGGTTTCTCGGTAGAAAGATATTGGTTTCTAGGTAGAAAGATCTCTCGCTAAAGGCCCATTTACTTAAGAAGCAACTTCGGTATAGAAAAATGCTTTTTAAGATCACATGTTGATTACTTAGTTATTTGAACACGTTCCGCCTACAGTTTCATCTTGTGTCGCCACCTTCACAATTCTTTCAAAAAATATAGTGTCTACTTAACACCTAATGGTTAAATTTTCTAGTTCATAGGATATCACTGCTTTTAGGGTGGATTTCATTCAATCTTACCAGTGTTATATGGAAGCTGTGAAAGAAGATACCACCCGTGAATCAAAGATAAATGAAGAAGGAATGGTTGAAATTTATAACAAAGGAGAGCCTACTTCGAAGAAATTTCATCATAATTATCTTTGCTAATATAATTTAAGTAAACCTCTTAGGTTGTCACTAGTTTACATGTGTTGCCCTTTCTAGGAAACCCAAATCCTAAGTCATTTTGGCTGTAGGATTGATGTACCATGACCCATTAAATTCATGGTTATAAGCATAACCCTAAATAGCCTTAAATCTAGCTGCTTCTGCTTTTCTTTAGCTGTAGACTCCTTCAATGAAGAATTCACATTACTCAGTGTAGGCCAAGTGTTGATAAACTTCACATCGACCATTTTGATGAATAAGTGTGTCGTTAATTCAATGTTAATAAACAGCATAACATATTATACTAGTCATAATCAACTATGTATGACCATATCTCCATCTTCATTTCTTCAACCTTACATTCACCATTTGAACAACTAATAATCATTGTACCAAGTTTAATGATCCAGATTTTCTCTAGTTTAGATTAGGTAGTGGTGGGCCCATACACAAGCCAACAATCTTCCATTGATGCCCTTTTCATATGGGTAATTTGATGTTTGTTCAATGCCTAGCATTTAAATTGTGTCCATTGATATTAATTAGTCCTAATAATGATTTAGTAATCATTCATATAACCTTATGATCTATTAGCTCAACTTTTCAAAAGGTAGATCCTACTTAATTTTGTAAATTCTTTTTGATGGGGTTGTAGTTTGGTGGATACTTTGGGCAATCGACTTTTTTCAATCCTTTTATAAATCTTCTCATAATATCATCCTCTTTAAAGGATAATCTTATCCTTTTTTAGATTATCTACGAATTTGTAATTAATTCTTGAAAATTTTAGGATGTTGTAGAAATAATCGTTTTTAAGGAGCTTATTGACTTTAATCTATGTTTGTTAAGTAATTCTTCTAAAGCATCTCGATATGTTAAAATCTTTTAAAGAGATTTTTTCTCTTATTTACAGAAATTACATTTTGCTTGGAAGAGCTATAGGAAACACCCAATTGATGAGGAGCCTATGACACGCTTTCCTATGACTCCTCTTTTGAGTCTTTTTTTTTTTTTGAGTCATCTTGGTCAGTTAACCAAGGCTCTATGGCATCATTACCAATGTAATTATGCCATCCTAGGTCTAATTTACATAAAGTAGAGAAACCAGTACAACCTGTCTTATTGCAATCCTGTTCAATGCATGCAAGCATTCATATACCTTGAGACCCCAATCCATACTAAGTAGATGCCCTGATGCCTATCTTTTTATTAATATATATGCATACAAGATCGGTTATAATTTATTATCAAATGATGGAAAAACAAGCCAATGAAATGATCCATATTTCTTTTTTATAGTTTTGTTTGATGGTTTATGATTTATTTTAGTTGTAGACCAATGCCCTTAAGTGATAGTTTAAAGGCTCAAATAGGTGAGGATTGTTTGCTATTATTCTTCTCTCGACCACAATAAATGTCTTTCTTTGCTATTTTTAGGACTAAATTAGATATTTAGTATGTTTATTATATATTATATGTGATGCTCTATGATGTTTTGGATGTGTGATTAGGCTCAGAAGATTATATTCTCTACATAAATATGATAATAATAAAATAAGCTTTTAAATTCTTTTGCTTCTTAGCCCTCTTTTCTAGAAAATTTTAAAATCAATCTAATCCACCTTACGCTTCATTTGGGATAGCTTTCTTGCTGCTTTTTAAAGCAGTTTTTTAGTACAAAAATTTCTAGTTCAAATTTTGTTTAATTGAAAAGGTACTTTAGAAAGCAATAAGAAGGCTTCATTTAAGACAATTGTTTTGTTGCTTTCCAGTAAGAAAGTTATCCCAAACGAAGGCTAGTATACACTTTGAAAAATAAATTTTACTTCTAGTTGCCTTGTACCGGGTAGTGGTAGACCAAAACATATCCCAATGTATTTTTTTTTATAAATCCAAAAGGCCTCCATGTTAAACAATAAAAGGATATAACTTATAAGTATAAAACAGACAT